CAACACCAAACCAAAAGCCTCCCACGGAGCAACTTATTTTTCCTGTAACGCACTTTCAATATCTTTAATTGCTTTCCTAGGAGTAGCGGTAGATTGTAAGGAAAATCCATTCATCAATATATCATATAACCCTTGATTTTTCAAGGCGCCGGAGCACCATCCTTGTTATCATTTCATTCACCCCATATATCATACGGCCGTCGCTCTCTGAGCAACGCGCAGGAGCACCGCCCAAAATCCACCACCAACACCACCACTAAACGGCCTTATAGCTCAGGCCGTGAACCTAACAACCGAGATAAGTTCCTCTCTCGGCCACAATCGTTTGATTAGAAGCCCAACTCGAAATAGGCGCACCACTTGAACATCTTCTACCCCAACCCCATCACCATCTCAACGCACGGTAGACCGTGCTGGTACGCCCGCGCACAACTGCACCGCATCCAAAAGAAGGACGTCACGTGTTCATGCACATCCCCTCGGCCCGGAGCACCAGGCCGTGAGATTTGCGCACGCAACAGTGTCAAGTATTAAAAAGGGTTGTGATAATACACCTTAAATTAAAGTAGTGAGGAAAAATATTTCCATTTGTGAATAAAGTAGGGGACTAAAAAATAAATATATTTCTTGATTGGGGCATTCTCCTTATAGAACTTATCTTGAATGTTAGAATAATCTTACTAATTAATAGCACATTCACAACTATATAAATTGCGTAGTTGTAGAGGAGCTATTTCCATAGGAAGATTAATCCAAGATTACGTACAACAATCATAATTAATTTCAAACTAATAAATCCTGAGTTAACATAGAAACAAAAATGTTATGTACGGACAAATCAGGATAATTTATCAAAAATTTATTGATATGTCATAGATTTGTATGCATGATGTGCTTAATTAAATTCACAAATCTGAGGAATAAAAGACAACTATATATATATATATATATATCTATATATATTGTTAACAAAGGAAGAAACTCACGAATAGGTGGAATAGTATTCTCACTCATTATAATATTTATTTTTCATGTCTCTCACTGTAGAGTGATTACAAAAGTCTTTTCAATTTCAGTTTCCGTTCTTATATTTATATTTCCAGACACAAATGGTTATTTTGGTAACTAGTATTGGATTGGATACTCCGTATATTTAAAGTATGTATGAAGACAAACTCACTATCTGAACCAACTGGCATAAGCCATGTATGCAAAGAAAAAAACATTAAGTACCAGAAACTAACGCAGATAATTAATAAACAAGCTCAAGCTCTACCTAAAAAGGACATAATCGTCAAAAGAAATGCAGACAAAAGTGTCTTACTTCAAAGCTCAGGGAACCAAAAAAAAGTCTTGCTCGTAAGAGGATTAGTAGACTTAGTGTGACATAAAGTTAAAGATAAATTAACAGAAAGTAGCTCGACTGGAAAGCTTCCATTTTATCATCAAATAGCTGTTGTGTAGGAATTGTTTAAATCAGTTTGTGCGTGTAAAGACGAAAGTAGGTTGACTCGTGATACATGTGTTCACTAATTTTAAAAAAAATTGTAGTCTCAACTAAATTTTTTTAAAGACGGAAACTAGAATTATAAAGAGGATCCTCTAAAGACTATTCATCAATTAATTTATGATTTTGAGCACACTAATAGTTTTTTCTAATACACTACTAACAAAAATTAGTTGAAAAATAAATGAGATTAGACATAAACAAATAATCACCAGGTTAAAATTTAAGATTTATTTTGTTTATTTAGAAGGAAAATTACCATTGCGTAAGGATATTCATCAACTTTATAAACTTCGGTGGTTTCATCTTATTATGGATCTAACTAAGCTAAAAGGCATTCATACAAAATAAAAAATAAAAAATTAGGTCATAATAGTCTTAGTTGTGATCCTTTGCACCCGTTGTTCAGTCTTATATCTTGTTGCAAATCTATTTTGTCTAATGGTATGTGTCAGATTCATCATGTGTTTAGGGAAAACAATTATTTGTTGATATGCTTGTTTTTTTTTTTTTTTTTTTTTCCAAATTATTAAGCCTCTGGGTCTCCATATTTGGGATGCTCCCTTGCTATGGACCATTTAATATTAATTATTAGTTAGTGTTTTGTATTGGGCTTTAGCCCTCCTCTCTACCAAAATAAAAAAGTTTTGAACAATAAGACTTTTCGGACTGTCATGTATTGTTGATTTGTCGTTTTTCTAGAATCTTTTACAATATTCTTGCTTCATATATTTCTTTTCCTCCATATATATACATACAATCAGTAGCGAAATCAGGATTTCATATGTGTGGGGGCCTCTTATAAATTATAAAGAATCAAAAGTTCGAACTCACAATACATACAAAAAAATAGTGTATATATATATATATATCACATATGTCAAGAATTATATTGTTTATTGGTTGCAATCATAATTGTCCTCCACAAAGAGATAGACAAATACATTTTAAGCAAGAAAAATTGTAAGAAATAGACAAAGAGCAGCGATTTAGCAAATATCTTTAAAGCTTTTTTCCCCATTAAACCCAATAGAAAAAAAAAAAATCAAAATTTCACAAACTAAAAAAAACCTTAGGTCCCTTCATGCATTCATATCATATTATCATACATGAAAAAATGTTTTATATAAAAATATTGACTAAGTATGAAAAATGGTTTTTCAACATAATCATTTTCTTAGGATAATTTTTGGCGGCTTTTATTCCTTACACATCAAATAAGAAAACTTGATTTTATGAGATTTTAGTATTGACTTAATGAGCCATCATTTTTAGCCTAAATCATATTTTGCACTAAAACCGATTTTTCATATTTTGATTTGGTAGGAATTTGATTTTCTAGTATTTTTATTTGAATTCAAATAGGGGGTACTTCCTTATTTACATTGTAAACTTAAGTAAATGGAGTAATATAAAAATAAATTAAAGTAAACGGACAAAGACATTTACTTAAATGCTGAAAATGGAAATAAGATAATCTGTACACCTGGAGTGCACCACCACCAACTGAGTAAAGGGGCAATTTGAAGCACCTCATTGTGCCTTAATAGATACGCCACAACACATGTGGGTACATATCAAAACGTAAAGTATTTGAAATAATATACATATAGTAATACATAACAGTATATTACTTTTAAAATATATAAAAACTTGAGTGGGGGCCCAGGACCACACTGGTCCCAGTGTGCCTCCGTCCCTGCATACAATCCCATTTTTTGGACTCATATAGTCCAAGAGACTTGTGGTTACCCACTTTTAGGTCTAATTTAATGGCTTCTCAAATTATGACGACTTATGTGATGTCCTACAATGATGTCATCGAAACTATTTTATAAGAAAAAGATAATATCATACAAACATTAATGCACCCAACTTTATTAGAATTCCACATTTGAGCAGGATTAATAAATGGATAACAATTCTGTCTTTATCTTTGCTTAAGGAAAAAGCCTTAATTTCTAATATATATATTCCCCTTTAATTGAGGGATCTCTAAAATAATTTTATTTGAGAGACATCCTTTAGGTTACTCTACGGAAAAAATTTCCTCGATCCAAACCATCTATTTTTAAGACCTTCATTCATAAATCGTTCTTGGAAAAAATCATGTAAATTAAAAATAAAAAATGTATCTAATTGGAACCAATAAAATACACAAACACGGTGCTTCAAAAAAAGTTTATAATAACAACAATATAGTTGAGTAGCCAAATGGTTTCGGATTCAAATGCTTTTTTGCATATATGATCTTTGAGGGAATATTTAAAAACTAGGCAGTTCGGATAATTAATTATAATGTGTAGTGGGTCATACAAGGGTGAACCTCAAATATGTTTATTTTCTACTAGACGGTCCAAACATTATTATCGTGCAAACGGCATGTATTTTTTACTACCCGTCCCTACTTTCTTCCATGTTTACTATTACATCCGTACGGTAATAATGTGCAGACAAGATAATAACTGTATATGTATATACAATCTCCTTTTGTTGAGGGATCCCTCAAATAATTTTATTTGAGGGACACCCTTTAGGGTCCTCTATGAATTTTTTTCCAATGATCCAAACTATCAATTTTTTAAGTCTACATTCATAAATCATCCTTGCAAAAAAATTAGACGAATCGGAAACCGTTTCGACATCCAATTGTGTCCTACAAAATCAATGTACATGGTGCTTCAAGAAAGTACTAAAATTTCAATACATCAATTGAGTGGTCAAATGATATCAGATTCAAGTGATTTTTTTTTTTTTTTTTTTTTTTTGTAGAGATGATCTTTGAATAAGTATCTACAAAATAGAAAGTTAGGATTAGTGAAATACAATACGGAATGGGCCCTACAAAGGTGTCTCTCAAATAAGCTTATTTGAGGGATCCCTCAACTAAAGCTCCTTGTATATATATATATATATATATATATATCCCCACCCATATATATATATATATATATATGTGGGTGGCGAATTCACGGCATCATATTTTTTGCACAATTTTTTACACAATTTTTCAACCATTAGATTAAACTACAATGAATTGCTAAGATTAAACAAACTAAATATTATATTATTTACTAGCCTTTCCACACGTGTGAGAGATGCCTTTTTTTAATCACAACAATTATCACTCCAGTATTGGCATGTCACCATATGAAACGTTGTATGGTACACCTTGTAAGTCACCTATCTATTGGGCGGAGGTGGGTAATATTTTGTTGGATCCTGATGTAGTACAAATGACCATCTATAGTAACCACCCATATTTAGAAGCTAGTTGCATTGATTGACCATAATTGATACTTTTTGTGCCCAATTGTATTTCACAAATGTAGTAGTGTGTGTGGGTGTGCATTAGTTCTATTTGGTCCCTCTCATAGTTTATTTATTATTTATTCATGACACAAATCAAAAAAGAAAATTGTGAGATTTCAAATGGAACTCGGTAAGCAAGCAAAGGTAAAATTGAAGTTCTAGGCACTTTCCACAAGCAATATCAATTCAGAAAATTAAATCACATGCATTAAGTACATATAACAAGCAGGATCCAAGACTACATTACGTAACAGTACAGAGATAAACCTTATATAGTAGGTCTGATTTTGCCTGAGTGTTCACAACTACTCAACCAACATATGTAATAGACCTTTTTATTGACAAACAAACTTTCCACACACGTACACAGGCCAAGGTTTTATCTAATTCTTTGTTTCGGTCTCAGCGGTGCCTGGTTGTCCTGGTCTGTTTTTGCTGCCATGGTTGAAGGGGTCTCCCTCTCCTCCACGTTCATGACCTCCATGCCCGTAGCACGCTCTATTGGTTTCTCCACGTTTACAATGGGCTCCATGGTTAGGGTCTCCCTCTCCTCCGCGTTCGTGACCGTGGCCTTTCCCTCCATGGATGGGGTCAAGCTTTCCTCCCTTTTCATGACCATGGCCTTTATGGTTGGGGTCATGCTCTCCTCCATGTTCATGACCATGCCTTTTGTGGATAGGGTCTTCCTCTCCTCCACGTTCATGACCTCCATGCTTATAGCACTCTCTGACACTTGGATTATTTTTACAATGCTCTCCTCCAGGTTTAGGGTTATTGCCTTTTTCTCCACGGCCATGGCACAGTGCGCCTGGACGGTTACATGACACTGCGCCTCCTTTTATATATAAAGATAGAATAAGATAAATGAATATATAAAAAGTATGCGTCGACCTATATATACGTACGTACATGCAAAATGATGAAACATCCAGATTTGTAAAAAATTATTGATATGTTATTACGTCTCGTCAACTAAAGGATAGATGTCATGCATAAATCAAATTCAGAAATCAGAGAGGAATAAAAGAGACTTATATGTTTTTGTTAACAAAGGGAGAAACTCACGACTAGGTGGAGTAGTAGTTCCAGCTAGCTCACGAGCTGAGACCTCAGAGAAGATGAGGATGACAACAGCGAACATAAGCCCAAGCAGAAGTAAAGTTTTCGAGGATGCCATATTTTTGCTTATAATTAACAAGACAAATAAGACGTGATTTCTGAGTGAACATAATGGGGATTGGCTCTCCCTATTTATAGACCCTTTAAGATAGAGTGGGGTGGTGGAGGGAGAGAGAGAGAACTTCACCCTGAGTTTCTCACTCATCTTTTAATTTGGCTTGGTATCTCCGTATTCATCGTTCATGCCTCTCACTGTAGAGTGATTATGCAAGTCCTTTTCATTTCAGTTTTCATTCTATATTTACATTTCTAGACACCATTTTTATCTGACAAAAGGTGTGATAATAATTATACATATATATATGTGTGTATGTATATGTATATATGAGAATGGGAAGAAATGTCCTACGTTGAAAAGTTAAGAAATCTCACAAATGGCTTATAAGAAGTTTGGTCACTCCCTCCATTCCCAATTGATTTTGGGATGGAAACTCAACTTGCTTCATGATATCAAAGTCCAACAACTCCACGTCCCCAGTTATATTTAATTATTTGAAGTCGGGAAAATCGTATTTAATTAGTTAAAGTTCATATTGAAGAGTAAATTGACATGTATGCTAGGGAAGGAAAATTAAATTTTACAATTAAAAACATTAAAAGAGTTAAATACCAAGAAACTAACTTAATTATGCACAAAATTGATAACAAGCATCAAGATCACTTAAAAGGACCGTATCGTCAAAAAAAAATGCACACACACAAGTGTCTTGCTTTTAAAAGGATTAGTACAATATGTGATATAAAGTTGAAGATAAGGTAAAGTTAAGAACTGGAAAGCTCCCATTTAATTATCATGAATTGTTTATATCAGTTTGTATAACGTGTAAATGCACAAAAGAAAAAGGGGGACCCAAAAGTAATTAAAAATAAACAAAAATAATTAAATGAAAAATAGAAAAGAGAAAGAAGAAGGAAGAAAGAAAGTAGGTTGACTCGTGATACATGTGTTCGGCAAGAAAAAGTAAGTCTCAACCAATATGTTTTTTTGAAGAACCTTATTTGTTTTCCCTTCATACAGCAACAAGGGGCGAAATACAATTTTGGATGAGGCTTCTGGCAAATACAAAAATTTGACAATACACCTACAGAAACCCAGAACAATGAGCAAAAGAAATTAACATTAGAAGCCGACACCAATCCGAGATAAGTGAAAACCAATGCCACCTGTTAATAATCACCGCAAGTCCAAGAACACGTATTACACTAGAAATAGATAAGATAAATTCTACTAAAAAGGTCAACAATAGCACGGGTATTTGGGTTTGTTTTGGTACTTTTCGTACCCAGTATACTAGGGCAATCTTTACCTTTGATTTGGATGAACGAATTAAAAATTGTTTAGAATTCTAAAATGATGGAATTTATATTTCTATTATTTAAATTTTTTATAATAAATAATTTCAATGTTTAGATTTATATATGTCAAATTTTATAAATGATAGAAACTACTTGAAAAACAAATTCTTACTCAATAGAAAGTGTGAAATGATGCCTCTTTTGGGGAAATTAAACTCATAAATTTCGAAACCCATTTTCCACGAATTTTTTCCTCACGTCATTTACTATCAATTTCTCCTCTTCAATTATTAACTTTTAGCTCAATTCAGAGTTAATTTCCTCCATCCAAACGGATTAAGAAAAATCTTTGGCTCATTGCATATGTAAGGAGTCATTCCATCTTATAAACAAATCACAATCTGACATGTGTGTCTAACTTTTTATTTTGTAAATTTGATGAGGTACTTTTGTACATATATCTCACTGTGATTGGTCTATGTAGTCCATCCATATTATAACATACTGGCCCCTTAGCATGTGCCAATTGGTTTTATTTTTTATTTTATTTTTAGAATTAAGAAAAGATAACATGAGTAGTTATGTTCCATAAAAGTAAGACCTATTATCTAATTTTGTTTTTAATTTTAATTTTTTAATATAAAAAATATGAATTTACCATATTATCCTCATTTAATTAATAATTTCAATTCTTAATGTTTGAATTAACCAAGGGCATTTTCTAGTATTTTGAATGTTTCACCATTCTTTACATTTTGCTTTATATATATAGATATACAAATTATACCACGTGATCATACTCTAATACCATACAATAATTTCTGTTTGTAAGTGGGATAGAGAAAACTGTTGGCACTGATAGGACCACTACCTATATGTTGCTTCTGTCTATATTCATCGACTTTATAATTTACGGTGGTTTGCAGTGGCTTCATCTTATCACTGATCCAATAATTAAGGCAAAAGGACATTCCGACAAAGAAATAAAAATAAAAATTAAATTAAAAGCTATTCCAAAAATTATAATAAATTAAGGCAAATGCAAAGGATGTAGTTGCGAAGAAGTTTCGAAGAAAGACTTTTCACAGTGCCATGTTGACTCACACATGTATCATGGATTTGTCGCTTTTCTATCAATCTTTTCCGACATGCAAATCAAGCTAAAGTAGAAAGAGTACCATTTATTTATTTCAAAATCTACTTTCTTGATATATTTCCTTTCCTCAATATAATTTATGAGTAATTCTCCACTTAGGTTCTGTTCTTCAATTTATGACGATTTGTGACGTTGCTACAATGATGTCACGCAAACTATGGGACTTACAACAAATGATAAACGTTTTTATGCTGTTATAACAGTTACAGGAAAGAAAAGGACAGAGAGAGACATTGAAGCCTTTGTTTTTGCAGCAGAAGGGGATTGGAAATCTTCATACGATCTGCATATCAAGTTTCTCTTTTTCTGTTTTCTTTTTGTTGAGACTTCGACAAATCATTAGTCTGAAAAATTCTTTAGAATGGTCTCTCTTGGGTTTGATTCAAATCGTATACGATGGTCACTGTTAGAAGTTAGACTCATCAATCATAAAAAACTAATTTCAATGGTGACAATGTAAAGGTTTGCTGCACCAAGAAATTATTAGATCAAAAAATGAACACGGTGATTCAAAAAAGTACTAAAATTTCAATAATTCAATTGAGTGGTCAAATGACATCGGATTCAAATGATTTTTTTGGTAGAGATGATCATTAAATGAATATCTACAAAATAGATGGTTTGGATTAGTGAAATACAATACGGAGTGAGCCCTCAAATAAGTTATTTGAGGAATCCCTCAATATAAGCTCACTGTACATTTGGCTAATAAATATATATTTAATGGTCAAAAGATAGGCCTTGGCTCTGTTAATTAAATTAATTTTGTTTATTACTTAGAATTATGTTTGAACAGTTATTACAATTATTGGATGAAGAGGTATCAGACCTCTATATAACAGACAATTCGTTCAAGCTATTACACATAGAATTTTGAAATCACATTATCACTTCTCCACAAATAATTACTTCCTGAGAGAAAAACATATCATTGTTCGCCAGAAATCAAAGCCAATATTGTACTTAGGCTTTGATTTGTGATAGTTTAATCCTAGTGGGCAGCCTTCTATTGAATTACAAGCACAAGAGGTAGAGGAGAAATGTTGTCTAAAGGACAAATGTTGTCTAAAGGACACTGCAACTCTGCAGAACACTATCACCCAATCATGTTAGTATTTTCTATTTGATTCTACTGTTGTATTGAACTTTGCTGTATTAATTTGATTTGATATAATATATATATATAATTTATTTTCGTGTTATATTATATGTTAATTTCTAATTGATTTCCAACACCAACTTTATTAGAATTCCACATTTGAGCATGATTAGGGAAAAATAATGTTATTATAATATTATAATGGATAACTATTGCACCCTTATCTTTGCTTGTTAAAGAGAAGAAGCAAAACAAAATTGCAGAACACAAAGAAAACGTACAATAAACCAAAAGAAAACCTACAATAAACCACAAAAGAACAGAGAAAAGGCACAATAACCACAAAGAATGAAGGGAACTTACTTGGGCATCCCGCTAATAGAGTCTGCTAAATTAGACTCTTTGTTGTTTATTGCGCTTTTTCTATGTTCTTTTGGTATCTTGCTGTTTTGTATGTTTTCTTGGTTTATTTTGTATTTTAGTTTGTGTTGGGTTGTTTTAGCAGGTTTTCTTTGCTTCTCTAATTTGCAGTTTTTCTTTTCTTTTTATTGTCTATATGATTATGCTATTTTACTATCTCTTTGTTTTTCGAAAGTTTTTTTCTTAATTTTTTGTTCTTCTTGACAATTTCTGTTGCTGGCAAAGCCACTTTGGGTGTGCAACATGTAGGGGTGCTCTGGTTTCCTTTTCTTTGTTTTTTTATTGATTAGTTCAGGGCGCGAATTTTTTTTTAAGATTATGCTCCTATTCCTAGCTCTATGTTTCATATGGTTTCATCCTATCATTTGTGTAGGTGCTTCTCAATGGCGGACCCATGGATTTTTCTAGGTGTGGACAAAAAAAAAAATTAGGAAGATCTTTTATAACCAAGAATTTTTGGGCTAATTAATATTATATGGTAGGATTATATATATATGTTATAGAAAATATGGTACGATTTCAGTGGGTAGAAGAAACTAAAATCGAATTTTGGTAGCTAGGATAGGCTGAATTCTAAAAGATAAGTGGGCTAATATTTAATTGTAGTGGATTTTGTTGTACAATAAAGACTAAAGTACAAAAACAGCACTGGGCTAAAGCCTAGTTAAGCACCTTCGTAGGTCCGCCCTCCCCATTTGGTTCACGGAACGGATTTGAGGGAAAATCACTTTATATGGTATGGGAAATGGAAAATTCCTTTCCTACGTTAGGAAATGCTGGGAAAGTAACAGGGAGATATCACTTCATTTCCTTTCCCATGTTTGTTTTGAGTAGGAATGGAAACAAAGTTTGTATAATTTTTCAATTATACCCGTATTAAATCAAATAAAACAAGAATGCATTTAATGATATATTGTAATTCTAAATTGTTAATGGGGACAAAATAGTCATGAAAAATGTGCATTTAATGTTGAGTCATTTTTTCAAACTTTCCCATGAGGAGGGAAAACAAAACCCAAGTTAGGAGGAGGGCTTCACTTTTCCCTCTACTTTCCCATGTGC